CCCGGGGCGTACGGAATCTCCGTCCCAAGCAGCTCCCGCTCCCCGCCTCCATCCCCACCGCTTCCTCCCTTTCTCGCTTACCTCCCGCTGGACGCGCGGAGAAGGGGCCTGGGCACTTCCCACCTTCTCCGCACCGCCAGATGCACCAGATCCAGACTGTAACCGCCGAAGAGAAAGGGTCTGCGGCGCCGCGTCTGACGTTTTCAACTCCCGAGAGGAAACTTCGCTCTCATCTCCAGGCCCGCCGCGTGAGAGGGGAGCCCTCCTCCACCCAGGGTCCCTCCTCGGGGCGGAGCGTTTGCACCTTTGGGGTAACCCCCTCTAGGTTTCCTTTCATTCTGTGCAAGGGCTCCCAGAACTAGCTGAACCAGTCCAGTCCAGCCAGGTCCGGTCAGGTGTGACGGGGGCGCCCACGCAGGGCCGGGGGTCCCCGCACTTGGCGTAGCCTAAATGACCTCCGGTTCTGGGCTGCGCAGAAGCGATGGTGCACAACTTACTTCCCCGGGGTTAAGATGAATGCTTTCCTCCACTTCGGCCTCCAGGGCTTTCAGTGCCAAGGGCCACTTCTACCCATCTCCCCTGTTCGCAAGACCTACAAGGGCTTCCGCCCGCCACGTTTATAGGAGAAAGTTTGGCTGTCTACTTTCATGCCTCTCTTCTTCAGAAACTGCAAGAAAGAGAGATTCTTCACAAATCAGGAAGAAACGATACTGTGAAATTTTTAAAATGTTTATCCAGGTAAACCACTGATTTGTATAAACTTTCTGCTATTTTTATATGGAGAGGACCTGTGGAGGAAAGAAGGGGGTCTGTAATTTAGAACCAGCTTTCATTCAACTCAAACCCCGGTTTTGTAATTTACTGCAGGCCTTGGAAAGCTAAGTCAACTTCGGTGCCTCAATTTTCTCAGCTGGAGTGTAGAGATAAAAATACCTTTACTGAACCGCTCCCTATACAGTTGTGGCAAAATGAACAGTTCGGTGCTCTCTCAAGTGTTACAGCTCAGCATTACAGCCACGTGCCACAGTTCTGAGGCCCAGCCGAGTGTGGAGAATCCGATGGTCCCTGGAAGAGGTGGAGAAAAAACGTTTATTACACTGACGGGCTCCAAGGATTTGAAACTCTTTTAAGTCTGAGCTCTTGACCAGAAATGGCAGCCTCCTCATATAGGGGTCTAGGAGTAGGCGAGCATGCTCATTGAAGCGGGGGGGGGGCAGAGTTACAGAACATTCTGGAAAGTCATATGGGCAAGCATCCCCACAGCAGAGGGGGTAGGGTTAACAACATTCTTGAAAAGGGGCGGAGCTACAGAACATCCCTGAGAGGTCTAGAAGTTCAAACAGTTACCAAACTGTTTTTGATACATTGGGCAGGAATGCTGTCCGGCAGGACAAACTGTTACATTTCTGGAACAAAACATTTGCGGGGGGAGCATGGAGGCAAGGCGAGGGCCTGTTTTATTGTATAGGATAGCTCTATCAATAGAGGGAATACAATAAAAATGGCTAATCCTATATTTATTGAGAGCCTAGTACATGGCAAGCTCTGTGCTGAGAGTTACGTATATTATTAGAATAAATTGTGCGAGGGCCACAAAGAATAAATTGTGCGAGTGTCTAGCAGTACTATGTGATCCATATTAATTTCTGTTTATCTTCTTAAATTTGGAAGAAACCTTGACAAAAATATCTCATTTAGTTTAACTTCGCACGAAGTACAGGAGTCTTGTAGTCACTGATTTCCAACCCTAGACTCACGAAGGAAGCTTTCAGTGGATTCTTTTCCGTGGGAGCCCCCACACCAGGTCAATGGCCCCTAAGAACTGAATTCCAGGTTTCATCTAAAGAAGAGCAGAAAGCTGTCTAATGTTTTTGTTCTACTTACTGTATTTTCCTAAGAATATCCTTGGCACTTTGGTGGCCGCATAATTATTCCTGTTGACTTCTAGATCACAATCAGCTGACATTCTAGAGTGGTTGGTTCTTTCCCAGATGCTGTTACAACTCACCGTCCCATCCATGCCCCATGCGGATTGTGTCCAATGCTTCAGTGCGACGCTGTGGACTTTACTGTGAAAAGTCAGGCCCCTTCTCTCAGCTCGGTCATGAGTTGGGCATCACTGAGAGAACTGAGCAGTTCTGCCTCCCAACTGTGCCCCTGCCACGAGTCCAGTCTGAGTCCAAGTCCTTATTTAGGACCTCAAGCCTCTTTCCCACCACCCAGCTCTGACCCCATGCTGTTGGTGAATCTTCTTGCCAAGGGTTACCACCAAACCATCTTTTCTTTCCATGTCCCAGAGGAGCAGAGCAGTGTACGTGGGTACAGAGCTGTTGCATGAATTAGAAGAGGGCACCACTCCAGTCCCCTCAGCTCAAGGGTTAGGAAGAAGCAACCCCTTCCTCCTAGATACAGGTGCAAAGACAGCAGACAGGCTTTGGGCCTTATCGGTTAGCTGTCTTTGCTCTACTGGGATAGCCACGCTGTCCAAAAAAGAAAATGACTACTTAGTGAATTCTTGTTTTGTTTTGTTTTTTGGTACCAGGGATCAAACTGAGGTCCTTGTTCTTATGAGGCAGGTGGCAGCACCACTGAGCTAAATCCCTGGCCCTAGTGAATTCTTGTTACTGTCCCCTAACTTCCTTCTTTTCCAAGTGTCCAGATGTTACTTTTTTTTTTTTTTTTTGGTACCAGGGATTGAACTTGGTCAGATCCTCGCACTTGCAAGGGAGGCCACCGAACCGCTGAGCTAAATCCCCAGCCCCAGAGGTTACTTTAATAGGTTTATTCATTTTGCTCAGAATCTGTGAAGAGACTCTTGTCTTGGTTTCACAGACCAAGCTTCCTTTTGAAGAACTTACTCTCCATTTGTCTGCAGCCAGCCTCTCAGTGTCAGCCTCCTGGCTGATTCCAGCTCAGGGTCCTTACTGAGAAAAGCTGAGATGTACAAGACTGAAAAACAAACAAAGCCACAAAATAAAACTCTCGGCCTGTCCTCGCTGCAGTGTCCCTTGGGCTTGAGAGGTGCCAAATGCCCTGTCTAGTGAGCAGCCAGCGTGTGAGCTAATGTTACAGGGTCCCCAAACTTGCCTTCACACAAAAGCCATTTAGAGCGCATTTCAAATTCCTGAGCTCACTTGCCAGCCTGTATCCATCAAATGACGGTGTCCACTGTGATTGCGCTGTGCAGGAAGCTTGGGAACCACTGTTCTGTGGGACTGGTACTATACAGGCCCTCGCCAGATGAAGCACCCATGAGAATATGCTTTTCGTCACATTGGTTCTGACTTCATAACTTGTGTACGATATTGTGAAGAATGGCTTTCAATCTAATTGACTTTAAATCTATACTTTCTGATATATTTCTTTCTAAATACTTTCGTTGGATAAACAGTTTAGGAAAAATACTAGATTTCCTCATCGGCTGAAGTAGTGAAGTTGATTTCACCCTGCAGTCAATGTTTCGCTTCACACTTTTGCTGCTTGAGTATTATACACTTTGAATTTCAATAAAACAGCCACGCTATTCGAACTTTTTCTTCTGCTGATGAGGTTTGCTGTGTCAAACAAAGAAAATCGTGGCTCTTTTGCATTTACAGTATAGTATTTTTAGATAAGGAATAACTGACATTTTGGCAATGTTGCATTCGAGTATGTAGTCCAGTGATGTTTCTGTACCCTTTCCTCACCTAATTCCAAAAAATGTAGTTTCCTCTTTTGTTTTTTTTTTCTTTATGTGTTTCATCTTTAGTGTTTTTTCATCTTTATGATTTTCTAATAGTGACCTTTTTGTGGATGTGATGGTAAATATCTGTAATCCCAACATTCAGGAGGCTGAGGCAAGAGGATTGCCACAGATTTGTGTCCAGACTACATTGTGAGTTCAAAACTAGCTGAGGTACACAGTGAGACCTTATCTCAAAAAGCTAAACAAACAAGACAAAATATAGTGGACCCTTGAGTTACAACCAGCCTGACACACATACAACTTGGGTTCCGACCAGAATTTTAGTTGTAATTTACAGTCTTGAGTTACAACCCAAATGCCAGGCACTCATGCTTCCAGATGGCCTCACATACAGATTTCACCCTTAAAGAGTCCTGGAAGAAACATTACAGCATACTTTCCTGTGTGGGGTTCATTGAGAAATCCTGGGCCAGTGTCTCCTGAGATCTGCCCTTGTACAGGAGGGAGACTTTGAAGACTGTGTAGAGGAGCCTGAGCCTTCAATTGACCAACCTGAGTTAGAACCAGCCATTGAGAATAAATTCAGTTGATAAGTCAGGCGTCCACTGTAAAGAGTGCCATTTTTAATCATCATGGCCATATGGAAAACATGCCATATTTTTAAAATGCTAAAATAATATAATTTAAAAGCCCAACTAAAGTCTAGCAGAAAAACAACACTTGGCAGAAGCATTTATCTAAATAAGAATGGCAGAAGAAAACTTGGAATAATTATATTTCAGCCCTTTCAATCTACAAAGAAATGAGGTTATCCTGGGTGGGGATTGCTAACCAGTTCCTGTTTCTAATTCTGATAGAAGTTGGAAGAGAAATGAAGCCACTTGACTCCTAGCCAAATTGTTGTGTTGTGTTTTGTTTTTTTTTTTTTTTTTTTTTGTTTG